GAGTGGGTTGAGAGGTCGAAACTTGATTTTTATGATGGTTTGGGACAGGTAGAACCCATTTTTAAACTAAAACATGTCCCACCTACCCCGGAACATAAAAGCACTACAGGGGTAAAGATTTTAAAGTCTGGATTTTAGCTGGATTTCGGTAATTTTGGGATGGGCGTGGCCCCTGGGAGTGGCCTGAGTTGGTTGAGAGGTCGAAACTTGATTTTTTTGATGGTTTGGGACAGGTAGAACCCATTTTTAAACTAAAACATGTCCCACCTACCCCGGAACATAAAAGCACTACAGGGGTAAAGATTTTAAAGTCTGGATTTTAGCTGGATTTCGGTAATTTTGGGATGGGCGTAGCCCCTGGGAGTGGCCTGAGTGGGTTGAGAGGTCGAAACTTGATTTTTATGATGGTTTGGTACAGGTAGAACCCATTTTTAAACTAAAACATGTCCCACCTACCCCGGAACATAAAAGCACTACAGGGGTAAAGATTTTAAAGTCTGGATTTTAGCTGGATTTCGGTAATTTTGGGATGGGCGTGGCCCCTGGGAGTGGCCTGAGTGGGTTGAGAGGTCGAAACTTGATTTTAATGATGGTTTGGGTCAGGTAGAACCCATTTTTAAACTAAAACATGTCCCACCTACCCCGGAATATAAAAGCACTACAGGGGTAAAGATTTTAAAGTCTGGATTTTAGCTGGATTTCGGTAATTTTGGGATGGGCGTGGCCCCTGGCCCTGGGAGTGGCCTGAGTTGGTTGAGAGGTCGAAACTTGATTTTTATGATGGTTTGGGACAGGTAGAACCCATTTTTAAACTAAAACATGTCCCACCTACCCCGGAACATAAAAGCACTACAGGGGTAAAGATTTTAAAGTCTGGATTTTAGCTGGATTTCGGTAATTTTGGGATGGGCGTGGCCCCTGGGAGTGGCCTGAGTGGGTTGAGAGGTCGAAACCTGAATTTTATGATGGTTTGGGACAGGTAGAACCCATTTTTAAACTAAAACATGTCCCACCTACCCCGGAACATAAAAGCACTACAGGGGTAAAGATTTTAAAGTCTGGATTTTAGCTGGATTTCGGTCATTTTGGGATGGGCGTGGCCCCTGGGAGTGGCCTGAGTGGGTTGAGAGGTCGAAACTTGATTTTTATGATGGTTTGGGACAGGCAGAACCCATTTTTAAACTAAAACATGTCCCACCTACCCCGGAACATAAAAGCACTACAGGGGTAAAGATTTTAAAGTCTGGATTTTAGTTGGATTTCACTAATTTTGGGATGGGCGTGGCCCCTGGGAGTGGCCTGAGTGGGTTGAGAGGTCGAAACTTGATTTTTATGATGGTTTGGGACAGGTAGAACCCATTTTAAAACTAAAACATGTCCCACCTACCCCGGAACATAAAAGCACTACAGGGGTAAAGATTCTCGATCTGGATTTTAGCTGGATTTCAGTAATTTTGGGATGGGCGTGGCCTCTGGGAGTGGCTTGAGTGGTTCAAGAGCTTAAAACTTGGTCTTTTCGATGGTTAGGGGTATGTACTACCTATTTAACCACCAAACATGTTTCAAATACTCAGCAACACAAATCCCCTTCAGGGCCCAGGGGTAAAGATTCTCATTCTGGATTTTTAGGGATTTGTCACAGATTTCAAGCTATTCGGGATGGGCGGCCTGAGTGGGGTGGATGTGTTACTTAGATTTTCATATCTTATAAGTGTCTATAAAAGTATAAGTACGAGCAGTTTATTGAGACTTTTGACTTCTACCGTCGTAGCTTCTATAATGATAAATATTGTAACGTACGTGCGGCGCGCAAAATCCACTACAAAATCCACTACAAAATTCAGGGAAACGTCTTCTGGCTAAGACGATTTTACTAGACATCTAGCTATTATTTTAGTTCGTGTGCGCGCGTTCATTGCATGCAGCGCGCGCTACACTGTACTGCATGAATAATCATAATTACTGGCCTCGTTGGTGTATAGGTATTCACAATTCAGTGTCGTAGGTTTAAATAAATAATAATCTACCAAGACGCTCGCCCGAGTTGGACTCGTCGACGGTCTTGGAATATTTGGAATAAATAATTCAACGACCCAGCTCTCCGAAGGGGTGACCGACAACTGAACCCAATTGAACCTAGTTCCCACGCAGTTAACAGGCACCCAATCAGCTTAATTGGATGACCAATCAGCTTAAATCCCAAAACGACAACTGAACCCAGGTCATATCACAACTGCACCTAAATTGGAAATACGACATCTGAACCCAACGATCGGATTTTCAGGTTCTCCTTCTTCGCAGTTGGGTTCAGTTGTCGTTTCAAAGTTAATTAGGTAGACTGATTGGGTTTAAAATTATTTTCCCAAGCTACCCTGTCTCGGAAAAGTCCAAATTGGGTTCAGTTGTCCGGTAGCCCTCCGAAGGTCACATATCTGGCAACCTTTATTAAATAAAAGTTCTAAACAAGGGATAGTTAAAAACAACGCCCAAGTCTAATCTTTCCCTAAAACAAATAACTAAATATCAAAACTTCATTGTAATTTCTGCCAACCATGGTCACTTAATATAATCTTAAGTCTTAACGTGGGACACATTGTTGATTGTATGGTGGTTGGTTTGGGCTCGTGGATGTACTACTACTACTACTATGTCAGAAATAAGTCCGATCTACGCCAGACAACCCCCTCCATATATCCCTGTCCCGCATCAGGGTTCGCAGTTCCTCTTTAGAGTTTGTCCCAACTTCCTTAGGTAACATAGACAAGTAGCTTTGTCTTGGTCGGCCTTGCTGTGCTCTGCCATGCATAGGTTCCCATAAGACTAAATCACTGGCAAGTAGCTCAGGGTGTCTGATGCAGTGTCCCGCCATTTTTAGTCTCCTGCTTCGTAACTTGTTTGATAGCCTTGGTAGACTACCATACGAAGTTATATTGCTGACCTTGTCCTTCCGTGGATGTAACACTGATAAAGAAATGAATTAGCCAGATACTAGCTAGATGGGTGACTTTCATCGAGCGTGCTAAATCACATTGGAACTTCGAGAAGGCCCTCAGAGTAGAGTGTTAGGAATTGTCCTTCAGAGCTATTTATAGAACGTGTCAATACTGACTGTTCACTAAAAATACTCGCTAGCAGCAAGGTTTCAAAATGTCCAAATGAAGCTGGTTGAGTCGCTTCAACATGGAACCTAATGAAAAGCTAAGTCACTTATAAGTTACAGGTCGATTGCAGTCCTCGATATCGTTAGGTGTTGCATTGAGGAAGAATCTGCGTGTCGGTCAGGATGTTTAAATTGAGTATTTAATACACCCTATATCGATGTAAGTGGGTTCGTTGATTCTATGATTTTGCTGTATATATAGTATTTTAATTTGCAGTCATCAACTTTTTTGCTCAAACAGTTTTCAAATTACAAAACTTTTATCCAGTTCTACTACCGTTCATGCTAATTTTTCTAGTCGTTCAAGATAAAAAGTATAAAAAGCAAACTAATTTCCATGCAATAAATTAAGTAATTCCAAAATTCAGCTTAAATATAATTATCATCGTTCGATTAAAGTCCAAAATGTTAAGATTTCTCAGTTTTAGACAAACTTGTCGTCTTGTTGGAACGGTCCACTGCCCCAGACCTGCAACTCAAGAATACTGATATGTAGAGCTAGAGGCTGATGTAGAGTGATTCTTGAGGCGTAGGTTGGATCCTTATCAGACACTGTAAAATCGTAGGTACTCAGAGCCTGGATAACTGTTCCGATCAGCTCGTCATCAGCGTAGATGTGAGATCCAACAATCTGTTCTTTACAACAGTGTCGGAGATTCCAAATCTTGATCTTGTGAATTCTGAAAACACCACCCAATTCGATCCAAATCTTGTTATTATTTGCTCTACTTCCGGTATGGGTGTATGTACGAATGCTATCGACGACATGTCGATCATGAGTGAACTGCCCATCTGTAGCTAAATCAGAATCGTAGCCACCACCATGTCTGTTGTTTTCTTCGGTCATCTTGTAAAGAGATATGAGCCTAATCTCTGATATCCACGCCTGCTGGCGGTTCTTGATCGTTGCTGCTGTGGACTGCGTTTCGGAGACTTTTTCGGCTACCTCAGATGCGCTGTCTTCAACTTTCTGGCCAATCTCCTCGATCATTCCCTCCAATCTGTCCATCCTGCTTGAAACGGAACTCAGAGTTGTCCTTATCTCCTGGATGTACAAGTTGGTGACTGTTGCCTGGCTTTTCATTAAGGCTAAAGTCTCTACCAGGGTCGTCTCCAACTCAGATCGTGCCTCCATTGCTCTTTCCTTGATATCATAAGCTTCATCTTTAAGCTCAAAAGCCTCATCCTTTACCCGATATGCTTGCTCTCTGATAGCATCTGCTTTGTCTATAGCAGAGTATCCTTCTCGTCTAATTTCCTGAGCCTCTTCTTTAAGAGCATTGCAGTCGTCCACCACACTACCTTCTCTGCCAGGTGGTCTCCCTTCGAGATCCGTATCTCCGAGTATCAGCTGGGTACATGAAACAAGCAAAAACAGGTTCTTAAGAAACATAGCAACCAACTCCTACTCTAGCGTTCTAAAAACGTGTCAGAAATTGTTAACTTAGACTAATGTAGCGATACGCGGATACGTGTCCTGCAATGAATGATAAGGGGATTTATCAGGAAGAAAATTTAATGAGATTTTATAGGGACTGGGAGAATGCCCATATTTTATTCGAAAAATAATTAGTTTTCTTGAATGCGAGAACTTTCTAAAATTACCGCGCATTCGACCTATACTCACCATGATGGTATGAGGACATATTTCAATGCATCTTCAATATCATCATTATTGATAACGATACGTAGATGGAGCAGAGGGCCTGCACGCGGCGGTTCCGACAAGAGGCTCTTCACACTTTGTTTCTGTCTGGTTCTAATATACAATAATTACTTTAATATTTTCATACTCCGTAAATTCAATGCTGAGGACAACCATAACCACTGATTGTTTCAGGGCCCCGTGGTTGCGGAGGTAGAAACGTATCGTTACTATGGACACAGTATGAGTGATCCTGGTACCAGGTATAAGCTACAATATTAAGAAATTTAATTATTCAGGTTGTTTAACAGTCCTGCTGTTAAATATTAAGACTACGGTTTCATCAAACTGAATTGATACAGTCGATGTAATATGAAGAAAAAAATTCAGAACATAAAGAAAATGCCCCTGTAATGGTCTGGATTTTAATTAAAATAATACCGATAGGAAGCTAGATGATTGCTCTTTCCACCATCTTGCATGCAGTATACTCTTGTTTCCTTCCCCGTATTACATATTCACAACTGTTCCACCCAGTTACCGAACACGTGATGAGGTCCAAGAAGTGAGGAAAACTAAAGATCCCATTACTCAACTCAAATCTTTCATGCTCGAGGGAGAACTTGCTACAGCTGCTGAACTCAAGGTTAGATCTCAATATTTAGATGGAAACTTTTTACTTTCATTCTCTATTGATATAATAACATGATTTACAATCCTTCTAAAATTGGTTGGCGAAACAATTTATCACAAAGCACAGAAGGTTTACTGCTTCTCTAACTATGCTAGCTCCTTATTTGGGCATCACGTGCTATGCTAGCTCCTTATTTGGGCATCACGTGCTATGCTAGCTCCTTATTTGGGCATCACGTGCTATGCTAGCTCCTTATTTGGGCATTACTAACCTCCCTGACTCAGGAAATAGAGGCAGAATGCCGACAGGTTGTGGACGAAGGAGTGGAGTATTCCAGATCGTCTCCTGAACTGGAAGTACACGAGATGTACAACACTATTTACCAGGGTATGGACGGAGTGCGAGTCAGGGGGGCTGATGCTCTTACGTACGGCATACACTCGCCTTAGAACACGTGTTATCTAATGTTATGACGTCATGAAACATTGTGACGTGTGACGTCATCACACACACGCTTTCTGCTATCTTGGACTTGATTAGATGGAAAACGTTGTAATAAACCAAATCATATTCAATGCTTACTGTAAGGTATTACAGAGATAACCCCCTTCGTCGGTAAAACTAAACATGGTGCAAGGAATATATTTTGGTATTCTTATATTTAGCACTGTGCATATTTTGTAGCTAAAATATTTTGAATTTATTTAACCTTATTTTACGATAAACCTAAAATTTCAGGTAGAAATCAAATTCTAAGTGGTTTTAATCAGTACAGGGTTATCGAAATGTTAGACTTTTTGTTATAAATTCACACCCTCTAAGTTATTGAATTTATATTATGTTAGTTCTGTAAATGACGTGTTTTATTTTTATGCTCTTTACAAAATGAAACTGAACCACTCTCAAGCTGCATCCAAACTAAAAGCATAACTCAAGTTTCAAAATCTAACAAAAAAGTACTTTCAAAAGCTACTCACACACGGACTGTCTCCTGAGTAACCACACGACTGACATCATCTTAACCTAGCCCTAGAGACACCACCTTGCTCCTTCACAAATACATCTCCTCCGGCTAATCCTCCTCACTTCTGTGTATGGTTCTGGCACTTGGTCTCGCTTCTTTGCTTCTCCGACCTTCTCTATACTGTTCACTGTGTGAGTGTCAGAAGGGCTGTTATAGGTGTAGGGTGACTCTTGCTGATCAGGTTGGGAAATTTATAGTACTTACAATATTACTTATAGTATTACTTATAGTATTACTTATAGTATTACTTATAGTATTACTTATAGTATAACTTATTGTATTACTTATAGTATTACTTATAGTATTACTTATAGTATTACTTATAGTATTACTTATAGTATTACTTATAGTATTACTTATAGTATTACTTATAGTATTACCTACTATATTACTTATTGCACTACTTATTGTATTACTTATAGTATTAGTTATAGTATTACTTATAGTATTACTTATAGTATTACTTATAGTATTACTTATAGTATTACTTATAGTATTACTTATAGTATTACTTATTGTATTACTTATTGCACTACTTATTGTATTACTTATAGTATTACTTATTCTATTACTTATAGTAGTACTTATTGCACTACTTATAGTATTACTTATTGTACTTACAGTAGTCAGTACTACTCTATCACTAATATTGTATAAGCAATTAAGATGTCTGGTTTTATTTTACTCATGAGATATCAGACGGACCCCGAGGTATTAAAAATAAAATAATTTCCATTATTTTAAACATTCACGGGGATATCTTTGATTTTATTTTGTTTTGTGGTCGAGCATCACGTGAACAAAATGCAAACAACTGCAGCACTATCCTGGGTTCTAATGGGTCGCACACAAAATACATCCACTTTGGTGAGGTGCATCACGTAGCCTTCATCTATTTTCCACTAGTAACAGTGGATGTTGTATGGTTAATTTGGTTATAGACTGTAAAAGATAGAGTAAG